TTTTATGGGTACAGTGGAAGAATGCACTATTTCAATTTAAAAAGCAATACACAGGATACACTATTACAGAACTGGAATTATGTTAGTACAAATTGAAAGGGTGCTATATGTTAACACCTTAATAACAATCTTAAAGCATTCCTAATACTACATGTGTCTCAATCACTTACCCTCTCTCAGGTAAGCGTTCTCAAACTCAACGGAAAATATCCTCATCCAATGTCTCAAACAAGGGGGGAAGAACATCCTACAGTCCAGCTGTATTCTTGGAAAAACTTCTCCAGATTCTACCCCAAATCTTACAGCTTTTATCCTGTAAGGATGAGAGGGCATGGGGGAGAAGGAGTTAGGCCTGAGGAAACTGGACTGTCCTGAGTGTTTATCTTTGGTGGTGTAATGGGATTTCCCCTTATCTTTTCATGGGTGCACCCTACTGATTTTGTTAATTTTGGGATATAAAGCCCACAAATGATTTACTAAGCCAAATTAACATATATAGTGGTTGAAATGAGACTTGGCAAAATGTTTATTTGGGTTTTATTCCATCAGGGTTCCAGTCCTTTGTTTCCTGCTTCATTTTGGATAACTCAGGGCTGGGTCATTTTTCACAACCATCCATGAGTCATCACAGTTAAGAGTCTATTAAGGCAAAGCAGACCTGAGCTGAATTAACACCTCCCTTCACCTTGCCTTTATTCACCTGAAACCCCTGGCAGCACTTAGGAAGGAATGGCTGGAAAGCTGCTCAGCAGAGGGACCTGGGGTTGTTGATAGCCAGCTCAGTATGAGCCAGCAGTGTGCCCAGGTGGCCAAGAAGTCCAACGGCATCCTGGCCTGATTGGAAATAGTGTGTCCAGTAGGACCAGAGAAGTGATAGTCCCCCTGTACTCAGTACTGATGAGGCTGCATCTTGAGTCCTGTGTTCAGTTTTGGGTCCCACCCTACAAGAAGGACATTTAAGTGCTGGAGCTTGTTCAAAGAAGGGTAACAAAGATGGAGAAGAGTCTAGATCACATGTCTTATAAGGAGTGGCTGAGGGAACTTGGATTGTTTTGTCTGGAGAAAAGGAGGTTGAGAGGACCATTTTACTCTCTTCAACTACCTCAAAGGAATTTTTAGAGAGGTGTGGATTTATCTGTTCAACCAAGTAACAAGTGATAAGACAAGAGGAAATGGCTCAAGTTGCACCAAGGGGGTTTTAGACTGGATATTAGGAAGAATTTTTTTACTGAAGGGTTACCAGGCATTGGAACATGTTGCCCAGAGCAGTGGTGGGGTCCCCATACCTGCAGGTATTTAAGAGTTGTGTAGACATAGTGCTTAGGGATATGGTTTAATTGAGGACTTGTCAGTAGTAGGTTAATGATTGGACTCAATGATCTTAAAGGTCTTTAAGACAATTCTGTGATTCTGTGATTCTGTCACTTTTACCTGGGCTGGGCAAGGCTTTGTACGTTTTGCAAAGAGCCACCCTCACAGCCCTCATGTTACCAAAAAACCCACCAGAAGTGAACCCATGACAAGCTTCCTGTGGAAATCGGAAGGAATAGGTAAGGAAAGAGAGGGGAAGGAAGTTAATGGCATCATTGTTAGTCTGGTCTTTCCATTACATGAAGTCTTTGAGTGTGGGGTAAACCAAGAACCATAGTACATTTTCCCTACTCTTTCTACCTGAAAACTGAGGACTCTAGCTCACCCGTATTTCACCAACATATAACCAAGTGAAAACAATCCTCATGTGACAGCATAGTAATGACTTTAGGAGCAGCAAGATGGTTCACATACTTAAAATATTTCAGTGTCTTGCTGGGCCAGGTCCACAATTCTACATTATTAACTATATGGTGGCATGAGGCCAAGCAGGTAATGATACAAATGCAACCTCTGATATTATATTTTGTGGGGCTGGACCTTGAAAAAGAATGTATTTTTCTCATCCTTCAGATTTTTTTGAGATAATGCAATATGTCCCATCTTCAAGAAAGACAGAGCACCAAAAAAAGATTCATTAATTTTAGTTGTATTTTAAAAAATTATTCGTTGACTTCATCTAAAAGATGCTTTTTTAAAAATTCTGTTCATTTTAAGACGTTCCTTTCTTTAATTTGATTTCCTCTGAAACAATTTCAAACCAGAAAAAATACCATTTTGTTCAGCTATGAATCATCACAGCATTATATTTTGATTAATGTAAAGCATTACAAAATACCACCAAGTTTAAGTGATAACACTGAAAAGTAAAAACTGATCCTTTCTTACAAAAATTGCTTTTGATACGAAGTCATCATTCTCCAAGAGAAGAATACTTTTGTATTTGAGTGGTACGTAAGTACTAGGGGGAAATGGCTTGTTTGTACTTGTTGTAGTATCACTACAAGTAGGAACCAACAGAAATGAATTTTTTTACTTGGCATTTGTGCCAGTAAATTGGAACAGTAAAATCTGGTTTTCCTTAATGCCCTTTTAGAATGAAAAATCTCTTTCCAGGCCATATATTTTTCCATTTTTCAGCTGCCCCATAGTACTGGCCACAACTTGCAAGTGCTAAGATCTGTCTAGCACTGTGCAATTCTCTGAGGGCAATCAGTAGAGGCTTCCAAAGGAAATGTGTCAGCACAGGCTCAGAAGTGCAGTGCTAGAAGTCCTAGTAATATTTGAGCTTTCCTCCATCCTAGCACACAGTAGCACTCAAGTAATTGTTTTTGTTCTACATTTTTCTATGGCCTGGAAATTAGTTCAACACATTCATGAGCTAGAGGATCGACCCATCATGAGCTGATACTTGTTTTGAGACGAGGGATTTGAAAGCATGGAGGGTACCTGCAATGTAACCATGATTTGTGTTGTCTCTGTTACTGCTCTTCTTTTGTAGCTGGCAAAGGAAGGTAAAGTATGTATAGAAATCGAACTGGGAATCACCTAGAGACATCTACGTGTGACTTGAGAGGTAGAGTGAATATCAGCCAGCCATATGTACTGTCCGCAGCCTAGTGGTGTTTGTCATTCCCCTTGCAGGGGTTTTTGGTCCTGTGTTGAATCTTCTTTGTGGTGCTCAGTTATATAACTACAAGTTGATCAAATGCTTCCTTTGCCTCAGGTGTGAATGGAGATATCATTTGTCTTGAAGATCTTTCCCAGGAAATCTTGTGTGAGTGGCATCGACTAGGTATAAAACTCACAAGAAAAATGTACTTAATGAATATTTTGACTTGAAGGAATTGTTTTAGAGAACTTGGAGGTTTTGAAGTTACTGCTTTCAAATTTGCAGGCTGTCATCCTAAATCTTACTGGTGATGGAGAAAGGAAGCAAAAGTCTTGCCATTTGTTCTTGCTCAGAGCTCTTTAGGAGTTTCTTGTCAAACCCAAGAGATGTCTGAGATCAGAAAGTCATGACAGCAGCAATGTAATGTTTAGTTTACTGGTAAACGATTTGGCTTATGCTTACTGGAAAAAAGTTAAAAGAGAAGATCGTGAAAAGAGCATCTTCATGCCTATTCAGCAGTACCATATGATTGATACCAGAAAATATTGAGTATTTTGTACCGACACAATTGTTTGATGTTTTAGAAATGGTATGTAATTTTTATTTTCAAAATTCTTTTCAAGCTTATGCGTGCAAAATGTTTTGCTGGTGAGTTTAAGTTAGTTACTGTATGGTTCTGATGTACTGAGAGCAATTATAATTCCATTTGGTACTTTAATTAAAATTAAGGTATGGCTTTTACAGAACAATAATTTTGAAGCTGATAGCTGCTACAGCAAACCTGAAAGCCTTTCCTCTTCCTCACAAAGGTCAAGTGTCTCCCTAACATAGCTGGAGTTAAATAATAATAATTGGGCAAGTCCTTGTAAGGTCACTGGTGGCTAAAGAGCTGATAGGGCAGGAGTAGGGAGTCATGAGCAGTCATAAAGGTGGTTGGTTAGAAGGGGAAATGACTCAGCAGAAGAATATTCCTGCCAGTCTGGGATTTGGGAGGCTGGGGAACAGGAATATCATTGAAATGTGCAGCTGGCCTCTTTAAAGCACAGCTGAGCACTAAGAAACAGGACACCTCCTGGGATTGCATCAGTGATCAGAAACCCAAGAAGTTTTAATCTTCATTTATACTCCGAAAAAGTGGAAACAGTTTGGGTGATTTAAATTGGTCTGAATAAATAGAACAGGTCTCTGAGCACCCTGATTTAGTTGAAGATGTCCCTGCTCATTGCAATGGGGTTGGATTAGATAGCCTTTAAAGGTCTCTTCCAACTCAAACCATTGCATGATTCTATACTAAAGAGGTTAGCATGCAGGTATCCTTGTTGCTGTAGATTTGCGTGTGATAGTTTGAGATGATTTTTTTTATAAGCATGTATCACAATAATCTCCAAAATTTCTTTGCAAATGTTTATGGAAATAGCAGTAAAACCTGAGAATTACTGAAATGTATGAAGGCTGAGCACAGAGGGTTGGTAGAGCAGAAATTGTTTAACTTGGATGTTCCTTCAAAATAGCAGTTAGAAAATCCTAGTCAGTGTGGGAGCTGATCATCATGATATGGGAGTTAGTTGTTGTCTGGCTGAACATGAGCCAGCTGTGTACCCAGGTGGCTGAGAAGGCTAAGAGTGTCCTGGCCTGCATAGCAAATAGTGCTTGGAACTGGTGAGACTGCACCTCAGATCCTGTGTTCAGTTTTGGGCCCATCACTAGAAGAAAGACATGGAGGTGTTGGACCATATCCAAAGACAAGCAATAAAGCTGATGAAGGGACTCAAGAACAAGTTTTATAAGGAGAGGCTGAGGGAACTGGACTTGCTTAGTGTGGAGAAATGAAGGCTGAAGGGAGACATTTTTACTCTCTACAACTACCTGAAAGGAAGTTGTGGAGAACTGGTGTTGGTCTCTTCTCCCATATAACAAGTGATAGAATAAGAGGAAATGGCCTTGAGTTGTGCCAGAGGAGTTTTAGGACAGATATTAGGACAGGTTTGTTTAACATCGGAACAGGTTACCCGGAGAAATGGCTGAGTTACTGCTCCTGGAGGTATTTAAAAGACGTTTAGATGAAGTGTTTAGTGACATGGTTTAGTAGTTGACCTGGCATTTCTGCATTGCTTCAAGAGTTGGAATCAATGATCCTGAAGGTCTTTTCCAACTTAAATGATTGTATGAGTCTGTGATTCCACGTGTGGTGTCTGGCTTCATCAGTCATCATATACAGTGACTGTCAATGTGTTATGTCTCTCCTGCAGTATGGGATAAAGAAGAAGGAAGAAAAGGAAGCAGAGGCCCAGGCTGCACTGGAAGCTAATGCTGAAGGGAGTCTGACACGTCCAAAGACGGCAATCCCTCCTGGCTGTGGGGATGAGGAGGAGGAGGAAGAAGTGAGCATTCTAGACACAGTCATCAAATACCTACCAGGACCCCTGCAGGACATGTTCAAGAAGTAATAGCCGCATACTGTTAGATGGGCATAACAGTACTGCAAAGGATTTCTCTTTTGCCCAATGGGGATTTACAATCTTGCCATCCATCACGCAGCTTTCCCCCACCTCTGCCGTCTACTGCTCACTAGGAATCACTTCACTTACCATTCCCTTCTGACTGAAAAAAACCCTTCACCCCAAGACTCATCCACTGCTTTTTTGTACATAATCACATCAGTAAATGCCTCTGAATGGATGTAAAGATTAAAAAGCTGCAGACTACACAACTTTTATTATAAGCCATAGTACTATGTATGTAAAATAAGGCAACTATATATAGCATAGGAAAGGAACAACTTCACATGCATTTCCTTCCAAAGCAGGAAGGAGTGTTCACGAAGTATAAACAGTGGCCTCTTTAAATTTCTTTAATTATGTTTTTATTAATATTTATAATTATTATTAGTCATTATTATTAATGTTCTTATTGATTGGCTCATACTAGCCATTTATTGTTGAGCACAACTACCCTTGGAAGCAGAGCTTTTCTGTTTTAGTTTTATTACTGACATAAGTAAAAGATCATTTGGAAGGTAAATCACACACAGCTTACAAAGCTAATATGCAGAACTGTGGAAGAAATGAGTCATCTTCCCCTTGGCTGCTGGTAGAAGTGAAGTTGCTCAGAATCTAAGCAAGAGTCATGTTACTTTGGGAATTACCCATACACTTAACCTGAAAGAGCAGATTTGGTCAGACAATTGCCATACAGAGAGGTGAAACTACAGGAGAGTGCATGGTGCTCTGGTAGAGGATCTCCACAACCCCTTTGAAGCCAATGACTACCATATGGTCTTTTCTGAATTAACTAACCTTCTTCTTTCTGGCCAGTGCCATATTCTGCCATCACATTCCCAACAGTGTTTGCAGGACGGACATTTGGTTTCCAGTATATTCTTGCAGCTGTGTCCTGCCCCACCCCTTCCTGCAATGTGTAGCAGAGTGTGGTGGCCTGAATGTTATCGAAGGCTCTGAAGATCAGAAATCCTGAATATGCCAGCTATGTATGATGCTAAATTTCTGCATTGCCTTGGGGAGGTCACTTGTTTTTCTGCCCCACCCAGCTTCTTCACCTGTAGAACATAGTTTTCAGTCTCTAAAAGCATAAAGGGAGGATGCTTCTCCAGTGCTGTGCAGGAGCTAATTAGTACTATAACAGTGTGTGACATCCCTTGATCCTAATAGGGTAGCAGGAGATCTCTCTCTCACCATTATCTTCATTGCATTTCCCAAACACAATTACAGAGGGCTACTCAGTACAGCACTGGAGGTATTGAGTAACTGCATAAGGTAAGCCAGATTTCTGCTGGACATGTTGACTTGCTAGTACATACATAGATTCACATACAAAGATTTATTTTGAACACAGACCTTCATGATCAAGTATCTGGCTTGTCATCATAAGACTTGATCTGGAGTTGTTGCACTTTGCTAGGTCTCTGTAGTTGCTGCTGTGAGAGCAACATGCCGTGTCAGTGTCACAATCTTGTAAAAAAATGAAGATCTGTCTGGCAAAACTAACATTGCTTGTCCCTATCATAGGAAGTGCAAAAGTTTTCCAAGTACATCGAAGAGATTTGGAAGCAAATATATACTTTCTGATGACAACAAAAATGAAAGCAATTTTAGACACTTAATTATGTACCTAAATTAAGCATTCTACTTCAATGGAAATTCTTTGATACACTCGTTCAGTACATCATGTAGGGAGACATCTTGGAAATCTCCTGAATAAGAAAGTTTAAAAGGTATTTATTGTATTTTCATGTAGGAAGAAGAAATTGCCACCACAGTTAAGACAGTGAGCTTGTGAACTCTGAGCCTTTTAGCACCATCTCTAATAGTAGGGGAAAATTATTATTAAAGAGAAGTAATATATTAATTTTGCCCTCCTCACCCATCTCTTATTCAGGCATGTGAGCCCTTGCTTCTTAACAAATAACATAAGTTCCTACCAAATTCAAGGTGGAGGCTTAAGAAGTTTGACTGATATACAAGTCAGAACCAGCTGGTAAAGACACAATTTGTTTCAGGCTGGATCTACAAACAAAACGTGACCATTCAAGTACAAGCTGCCGAGGGCTTCTCAGAGGAAAGAGAAGAGAGGTTTTAGCTTTCCGATAATGTCAGAGTTTTTTTGCCTTGACTTTAATTTAAAGAAAGATGACTATTTCACCCCTAAGACTTTAATGGCCCAGAGCAATTCTTTATCTCTGACTCAATGCTTGAATAAAATGATGAGTAATTTACCATTTTCTAGGGAGAGTCTCCTACTTAGGTATGCAAATTCAGCAACTAGTAATTTGAGGCCATTCAAGTAAATCTCAAGGAATTGAAAACTCTTCTTCTGTCACCAAGCCAGCAACTGTTTTTCATGCTCTGCCACAGATGGAAATAAATACAACACCTCCAAAAGATAAAAGGCAGAGGCTGTCTCTTTGCTTTAGCCACTTGTTGGTAGTGAAATCTAGTGCAGATCACACTGACACACCTGAATCCATACTTTTGAAGTGCTCTGACTAATCTCTGTAGCCTGCATCCTCTAATACAGAAGTAGAATGAGCAGAAATGTGCTCCAGCTGAAAGGAACACATCCATTTGTGTTTTCCCCTGCCCTTGTGCTGGAGAACTCTGCTAACAAGCTAATTAAAAGAGAGTGAGTTCATTCCACTTTGCTGTGGCCTTTCTCTGCTGCTTCGTACTACCTTTCCCCAGCTGCCATCCTGAACTCACTTTCTCATCCAGCCTAACACAGAATCAGAATTTTCTTCTATTTTTCTCCTTACAGAATGCTAGTCTTGATTGTTTGCATTCACAGTCCTCCCTGGCAGCTTGATGTGCATGTGTGTGCACATATGTGTGGGAGATGAGGAAAAAGCAGAAAGTGTTTGGTATTATTTTTTCTAACTGTGCCTCAGCAGCTGTGCCACTGAATGGTCTAAGTCAGTATCTTGCGTGGCCTGTACTCAAATTTTCTGAGCAGGTGGTGCCAACCCTGGGCTCGGAGCATTAAATATACCCCTTTTGTGAGCTGAGCTCCTGAGCTATGTGAACATCTGGTTCCAAACCCTGAAGAGGTACGTAAGAACTTCATGCTGAGTTTATTAGGCCTCATGCCAGGCTCACAAAGCAGGGTGGAAAGGGTAGGTGGTTTATTAAATAAAGTTTAATGAGTATTTTTTGTGTGGGAGATTCTCAGCATAGCCGTGTCATCACATCTGTACCTCAACTCTCAATACCCACAGCAACATGGGACACAGACACTTTGGCTCATATACTGATGTAAGAAACATTGTCTCAGATACTTTCCCCCTTGGCACTCAAGCAGAAGATGAAAAACTAAAAAAAAACAAAGAGAAGCATGGTTCAGTTTATGGATATATCCTTGTCTTTCCATGCCTTTGTTTTATTTGCATCACTGGTCTGTTCAGTCTCAGGTAAATGAGGTCTTTGGGGTTTTTTAACTAGTTTTTATTTACATAGAAATGTTGCTGGCTAGATTCTGCAGCCATTTTCACTGCTCCAAGACCTTACTGGTTAGTTAAAAAAAATGTCAGAAGACCTCTACATTTGGAGGGTAAGTAATTTAGTTCGCCATTGACCTTGTGAACTCACATTTATATTTAGAGAAAGCCATATGAAATGAGACTGCAATATTAATTATGTATGCTAGTGCTGTGTTTAAAACAAATAAAAGAAAATATAAGACTGTGTGCTAAATCACTTTGGAGTACCTTTGTCTATGTTTTTAGTACCATATATTGGTGTAGGTCCCTCCCATCCTCTCTCCTTCATCAAGAAAGACCGTATCAATGCTGCTGAATACGTCTTTGGCAGACTTACTGTGCTAGAATAAGCATTGCTAGAAATTAGCTTCTGTGATGTGCTAGAATAAGCACTGCTAGAAATTAGCTGCTGTCACCTCATTTTAATGTCTTATGTATATGGAAGTTGTCCGTATGTGTCCTTAATTCATGTTATCAAGATAACTGTTTCTTCATGCACTGAGTTAGTAAAAAGTTTCAGTACTGTCACCTAAAAACTGCTTATTTTCTCTCTTTCTGTCTCGCACATTCAAAATCCAACTCAGCCATGCATTTTCTAGTAGAAATTCTCCCCAGCTTTCCTTCAGATGCATGCAGTACTCTCCAAGCAATTAGAAAGTGATTTAAAGTAGAAACATTGTGAATGTGGATTTCATTTGTTATTTTCTTGCTACTGTTTCCTGCATGATATGGGTAAATGGTATGATGTTCTTTTAAAATGCCATCACAGACAATAAAAAAACCACAGTGATCCCATACATTTTTTTTGCAATGCTTTCCTGGGAGATTCCTACCAGGCCACACTTGGAAATCAAAGTATGGATGATATACAGGTAGAGTGGTAGCAGAATCAGTGGGAGACATGGATATTATGTGAATAGATACGTTTTTTTTTCACTTGTCAAGAACACTGATGAGGCTTGACATCTACAGGTGGCTATCAAATTTTAAATAAGTTTTGCTGTTAGGAGTTAGTTTTCCTTAGGAAGAGCAGAACAATATTTCTTTGAAAGAAACACAGGCATCTTACTATAGTTTAGTGAGAATATGTTTGGATCTTAAAAAAGGTAAAAGCTGATTTACAATGACATCAAATATAACTCTTCATCTAGAATTTGCAAAATAAACAAAAATCTTTGGGTGGCGAGTTGCACACAGCTCAGCCTCATTTTACTTGCCTAAGGACAAATAAATAGTTGCTATGTTCAGAATCATGTTAGAAAAGGAAGGATAAATAACCATACAACTCCTAAGAAATGCTGATACCCCTTCCTGTAGGAAAGCCCTTTCTTTAGAACTATTGTATGGCAATGTGTTGTGGTTTTTTTTACTAAGAGAAGCAGCAGTGATTTTGATAGGCTTCATTTTGCAATCAAAGTAAATTTTTCTTTGGAATCAGCTTCTGCCTTCTTATTAAAA